TTTCATATATCAAGTAAGTATTCTGGGTGCTATTAAAATTTTTTATAAACTACATTATATATGAACGTGATACATAAAATGTACTCGTATTATACATACTTGTATATTTAAGTAGTGAAAATTTATTATATAAATAAAATTGTATATACATATATAAGAGAGTATATAAGAGTATGGATAATAATAATGTTGATAATTACATTGTTTAATTATGTATGTAGACAAAACAAAAAAAAAAATTGACCCATCAAAGCTAAATATTTTATGGTACAAGGTTGTAATGCAAATTATCTTGATATATATAATATGGTGTGTCCTCAAATATACTTATTATTTAGTGCGTGGATATGATTTTAAAATTGTGTAATAATATGTATTAAGTTATGTTAAGCTCCAGTTAATATTATGTATAGCTATCTTTAATGCTATATGGCTATATGAGTATACATATATGGCAGTACTTCTGTAAAGTGTGAAAGTCAAACACGCTCATTTGCAACACTTACTATATAACAAGCAAACCTCCTAAATGCACATTGTATTTTTTGCCCGCATATAATTTTTTTAGTCTAATAGAAAATTGATAAAACTGTACAATACAATGCACAAAAAAATTTGACTGATAGGATTAGCATGTAAGCGTATTTAACTGCGTATATGACTTTTTAATTTTGTTCAAAAATCTGTTTAAAATGAAGTCATTTTGAAATTTTCTCTTCGACTGTGCTGCGGGTTGTTGTAACCAATAAAAATACCCTGCATCTTACTGAGGTAAAATGTAATTGAAGAAATTTAAAAAAAAAATTTTAAAACCATTCAATCAACAGCAAACAATTTTATTTAAAAAAAAGAATTTTGAAAATACAGTAAAAATACTGTGGTTGAACAAAATACAATCGAAATCGATCAGAAAACTGACGTCATATTTAAATAATGTGGCTTTTCTAAATCAAGTCAAAATAGTTTTTTTGAATTTTTTTTATTTTAAAAAACTGGATCAAATATCACGCAATCTATGTACATACACATACACACATACACACACAGAGTGAAAACATATTTGAAAGTTTATCATTTTATTTTTTTTTTTTTCATTACCATTATCAATTTTTGTTTTAATTGATAATGACTTTTTATACATTGTATGATTGTATTAAATACATAACTTAATTGACTTAATTGAGTTGATATTCAAAAATAAAAAAAAGGAATAAAATAAAAGAACTTTCGAAAAATTTAAAATATGTATGTATGATATTCATTGGTAATAATTGAGAAAAATGTAGGCAGACTATATAATGCTTTAAATCTCATCTAAATATTATTCAGAATTTTTGAAAATGAAATTAAGAATTTTCACTAAAATTTAAATGACCTTCACAAACTTCCAACATTCTATTATATATACATATATGTATGTATGCAGAAACATTAAAAATGAAAAGCTCATAATAATCAAAAAATATTATAATTTTAATTTCATTAGAAAGAAAATTTTATTAAATAAATAAATCTACTTATAAATAACAGAAGAATGCTTTCGTTAATTTATAAATATTGTGAATTTAAAATTTAACATACCTTGTGAAGCTAGTAGTTGCTAAATCAATGTTAACGGTTAAGGTTGGTTGACTTTTAAGCAAATTGACTCAATAGATTGGACAAAAACAATTTGAAAGAAACGAAATTAAAATCTTCCTAAAATAATAAATGCCTCAAGGACGTTAACAACATAAAATGCCCCTTCGCGAAACAAAAATTAAAAATAAATGGTTCAGTTAAATTTTAATTCCTGCTAATCAGTTGGTTTTTTATTCGATTCTCTTATAAAGCTAAGAATGGTTAGTTTTGTATTTACAGTTCGAACTTGTTACAGAAGTTGTAGCACGTGCTTACTACTTTCCGTCAAAAAAGAGTTTACTTTAATTTGTTGCTCTGTAAGTTTTGTCACAGAATTTGCAAAAAAAAAAAAGTTAATACCACTTTAGTGCAACTGCTTGTTTATCAATATTTCGCTTGTTCGTTTTGTCATTCTTTATTTGTAACATTTCATTGGCAGAACTGTTCATGAAGTATGCAAGCATGACCTACTATCCAACTTCAACCGTACTTGAAGCCCATTCTATGTCCATATAAACGTTACTTGACTTCAAGCCGGCTTCACTCATGTCGATCAAAAAATTTTGCTTGATAGTAAACACGCAGCTTCAGTTTTGAGATGCATTCAAGTAAAGCCCTTAGGCTGCCGCATATAACTAGATAATTATTGTTACGCTGCTAATAAAACGACATATGAATAAAAAAAAATGCCGTATTGAAAATTTGATACACTTACATACAAATGTAGTAAAAGATGTTAGATAAATCATTTAAGAAAAAATAATAAGCTTTGAAACTAGTTTTAAAAAAACGTAATCAAATCTAATAACTTGTGCAGGTATTCCTTTGGCAACGTCAAAGTAAAGCACTTCGAAAAAAAATTTTCTAATTTTGAAATAAAAGAAAACGTCAAAAAAGAAAAGGAAAACAATAACTACAAATGTTTTTTATACAAAAATATCAACAAAATCAATTTTTAAAGCTTTTATTGTGCTAATATATAAATTTTACATCACCTTTTTGAAGCACAAAATGACATTTCCGAAAACCTTCTTACTTAAATTGAAGTTGATTCAATTTTTGAAAGAGAGATAAAAAGCTGCATAGAAAATATGGAAAATAAAGAGAAATTCAAATTTTCATATAAAATTTATGTGCACGCATTACTTCGGCGCAGGTAAGACAAACTAATGAATTCATCTTAATGCAAAGATGTAATGTAGCTTCATGTTTGATGTAGATAGTTACATGCTTTCCTATTAAAATACCTTTCTTTTGTACACAACAACTATGCTATTATGAACTACATACAACATTTAAGCTGATTGTCAAAATTAAATTTTGTTTTTTAAATCAATAAACTTAATTCATTATTGGTTTAATTTAAATTAGATTATAATTAGTGATAACAACAATTATTTTTTTTCTAAAAGTGTAGTAAAAACAAAGTTTAGTTATCTGTACTTACGTGATACGCGAAATCTGTTTCCTCTTTTTTTATAAAATTCCATAATTATTATTGACAACAAAAGTATATTATGTTAGTTGTAAATCGTTTTCGATTGAAATTGATGTAACAACGTAGACAATAAATCAAATTTTTTTCTATTTAAATATGTCAATGCGTTTGGTTTATGATATCTTCCACTACATTGATATAAGAAAAAAATAAACAAAATTTTTGACATATAAAATTTTTACATCAATTTGCAAATATCACACCACAAATAGTAGTTAACTAATTATAAATATCTGAATTTTATTAATATTTTACCTTTTTTCTTTGATTTAAAATTACTTTTTTGTTAATTTATTATTATATTACTGAATAATACACAAATATTTAAAAAATTTCACAGAAAGTGATTGTCAAAGCGTGACAACGCGACTCAACATTTAGGCATTTTTCGTAAAGCGATTGGCTTTCTTGGATATTGTAAAATTTCAAATATTTTTTCATCTAAAATATTTTGCTTTTTCAATTTTTTGTATACTCAATATTTGTAATTTAATTTATATTATAGTTTTTTGATAATTCACGAAAACCATTTTATAAAATTGTATGACACAAAATTGTATTTAGAAAACTTTTAATAATTTGCATAATTGTCAAAAAACAGCTGTAACTTAAGTATATTTTTTTTAAGTATCGATATATAATTTTGACAGCGATTTTTTTGAGTACATTTTTAATAAGTTAAATGTATAAAAGGTAAGTTAAATGGTACTTTAACTGTTTTGATAATTGATTAAAAACAAGAAAATTTATGTTTATTATGAAAGTCAATTAAAAAAAAGGACATCTCTTTTTAATCGTGCATGGCAATATATTTTCAATAATATTATTTTGTTTTTGCTTTCTCCTGCTTTAATTGCAAATTGATTTGGTACTAAAAATACATGAATCGCAAATTTGACATTTTTTTTACCGTAACTTGACCTGCTGTTAATCAAATTGGTAAATTGTGAATAATCACGTAAATATTATATAGGAACGTAAGGATGACAGATGTTTTTCTAATTAACACAAAATAAAAAGTTCGTTGCAATTTGATTTATATAATTACATAGTTGTATTTTTATAAAAATTTCAACTGATGAAATGTAAAAACTACTTATTAAAAATTTAAATTATTTATGTAAAGAAAATGCATTATTTTATATATACATAGAGAGGGACAATAAACATATGTATGCATGTAAGTATTTAGATAACTATATTTTTAATTTACGAAAGTTCATTATTTACTTATTTTTGCGAAAGTATTTATTCACCGTTATAAAGTGGTTACTTTCAGAAATATTCAATAATATATTTATGAATATTAGCATTAATAGATTTTAGGGATTTTTCAATAAAACTTCTTTCTATAGAGTGGTCTACATCTCTTATGTACTTAAATGGGAACCTTTCTTAAATTACAACGTTCCCAAAGGAAGTGTGATATGAAAATATTTTAGGAAATTATATAGATTTCCAGCTTTATTTTATTATTTCATAAATTAACACAAAAATAAATAACCTCATTAATATTAAACTAATTAATATTATTAATTTATTTCATTTTGCTATAGATCTCATTTTGTAAAATTTCGGCTAATATCTTCCCTATTGTGTTTAACATGTACAAACCTTACATATTCACATATAAAATTTTTTTAATTAGAAAATTTTATAGCAGAAACATAATGTATTCTGTTTTCTTTAAATACATACATAAATAATATTATAAATTTCAATATTCTTGTGGACAATAATTATAACATTATGCACAATTTAATGTAGTTATATGATATATACATATCTAATAAATAAAACACAATATAATTTTAACGAATAATTTTATTATAATAATTAAAAATCAAACATTATAACTAATTATAAATATACATTATTGGTTTTAACAATCATTTTTTTTTTTTATTTAGATAAAATATCTATTTTTATTATTATAAAAAGTAAACATCAACCTAAGATAATTGCACAAAATAGAAAAAAAAAATTAGATACATGTGCATATGTATATATACATATATATGTGTAAATCGACGTTGCTTTTGGATAGGATCCGCAATAATTTTAATGAATTTGGTTTATTTTATTCTTTGAATGAAATGGACATACCATACCGAATATTTTGAATAAAAAAATTTGGTAAAACAAATTAAAAATTAAAAAAAAAAAAACAGTTTATTATATGAAATAACAATTGCAATTTATAGCTAAGAAACTGCACAACATAAAAACAATTCAATTATGTAACTTTAATTTTTTTTTGTTTTAAATCATTTTTGATTATCACAAAAATATAACAAGTTAGAAATTTTGTTTCAATTTTGTACTTATGAATGGCTAAAAAAAAATAAATGAATTTTTTTCTCTTTTTTTAAATTATGAAATTATTTCTACAATTTAAAACATAATTCAAGTAATTTCATTTATATTTAATTATATAATATTATTTTCTACTATATGATGAATTTGTGTTTCTGTTTGAAAACAAATAGATATGTTGATATTTTTGTTTTTTTTTTTTTTTTTATTTAAACATTTTACAAAAATTATGTTCTTTATGCTTTCTACTTGTATTTCAATTGGGTGTATTTAAACTAATGAAAAATATTTGTATTTTACACTACATAATGACCGAACATTTTTGGAATTAATCGATTTAATTTCACCTTCAGATTCAATATTATTTAAAATAGTTAAGTTTAAAGAATATAATTTTATCTTCGTAAATTATTAACAATTCTCATTATCATTATATTCAAAAAAATATGAAAAATAAGTAAAATAATTTTAAGTTTAACAAAATAAACTTAAGTGATCTTGTGTTTATCTATGTGCTTTACGAATTAAATTAGTTTATTCTATTGCAGTCTCATAAAATTTATTTCCAAAATCAATATATTTAATATAATCATCTATATTTTAAGGTAATAAATTTTTAATTTTTTAAAAAGCATAAAATAAATACCCAGGTACTCCTTATTTTAATAGATATATATTCGAAACCATAATCTTTAACATGAGATTGCACCTGAAGATAAAATTAACATCATTTCGGGAATGTTAGGTCAACCAAACATAATATGTATATTACATAAAAAAAATTTTCAAAATCCAATCAATTCGAAATAATAAATATTAGTGAAAATCTATAGAATTTGAAATAATATAGAAATTTGAAATATTTCACTATATCAAAAAAAAAAATAAGAAAACTAAAAAAAGAAAAATGTGTATGTATAAAACATCATATTCAAAATACACATAATTCCTAAAGAAAATTTTGTTTTGTCCTCATTTTATGTACATACAATCAATAATAATTTTTTATCGAATGAATATTTTTTTTATGATATTTCTTCTATTTTGATATCACTTTCTTTAATATCGTCATCTACTAACATATAAAGGCATTTTAATTGCTTTTCATACCGAAATATACCTAAAATTAATTTTATTTTAATCAAAAATATATAAGTATTTAATATACTTTTTTAAAATTATAAACTTACCTTGCAAAATATTTAATGTAGGTTTAATTGAATTTGCCTTAACTTTTGGAATTGAATCAACAAGTATTTGCGTTATTTTTTGTTGATCATTTCCTTCAATTTTTCTAGATATTAAAGTTGTTGATTTATTATCATTATTTATAAAAATATAGTTTTTCTTATTTTCTGTTTTGATTATTTTAGCAGGACTTGTTTCAGAAACAGTAATAATTTTTTTTGGTACTTTAACTAATTGAGTTGGCAATGTAGATTTCAAATCTACTTTCTGTAAATTTGGTATTTTAATAATTTGTTTTATAGTTCCTTTATTTAATCCAGTTGTAGGGATGACAATTTTACGTTTTTGTGGTATTATTGTAGGAGTTAATGTATTTTGTCCATTACAATTATTTTTATTAATAATTATAAAATTTTTCACATTTTCTCCGCTTTCATTTGTTGTATTTGGTTCTTGTTTTGTTGTTGTCTCAATTGATTTAGTAACTAATGAATCATTTTCCAGAGAAATTTCATCGGGTCCTTCATTGGCAAATATTTCTAGTGGTGGTTCAGCTGTAGGTGTTATAGAATTCTTATATAAATTAAAAGAAGCTGCCATCAAAATAAAGATACAAAATGTAGGTAAATATTATCTATATTTTTTTTATAAAAATAAAATACCTGAAGTTGTATTGGTATCGATATTTAATGGTAATATCAAATTAGGCTTTTTAGGAATTGATTTTCCATCAGTCTCAGGTCTATTAAAAATTTCAAGTTTTATCACTTTTCCCCCAGGTAGTTGAACAATTTTGTGTCCAATTACTTGACGTGATTTGGTGGTATTTGTCATATTTGCTTTATTCAAATTTGTTGATGAAATAATTTTACCAAATTTAATCGGTAATGTTGTTAATTTTGTCGTTGATTTTAATATTTCCGGATTAGTTTTCTAAGACACACAGTTAATTAAATTTTTTTTTAAATTAGACCATTTAAATACTTACGATTGTAGAAGTCTCGAGAAATTTATCTGCTGTTACAGGTGGGCTCTTCATTTTCATTGGTGGTGCTTCTGCTTGATCTTCTCCATTTTCATTAACGACTGATAAAGTTTTCTTTCTTTTTATTATATGAGCAGCCTTGTCTTTCCCAAGAACAATTCCTTCTTGTTTTAAATACTCGGGCAATAACCGCCGTCTTGCATTTATAAACCAGTTCAATACCTTCAATTTTATGATTTACGCATTTTATAGTTAATATTATGTAAATATTCAATAACTTCTTTTACCTGGGTTAAAGTTAATCCAGTTCTTTCACATAATTCTGTCTTTTCGTTTTCGGTTGGATAAGCATAGTAGCGATGTTCATACAACCACTTTCTTAAAACATTCACAGCGGCATAATTAAGGCTTTTACGCGATGCTCGAGAGTCGAATGAAACCTTTGAAACTTTTGGTGGTCCTTTTAACTTTAGAATTTCATTTGATACATCTAGAAAGTTTTTCCCTATATTTTTTGAATTTGCAGATGTTGATGGTTGAGTTTTATCAGCATTTCCCTCCTCTTTTATTTTTTGGGAATTTGCAACAGAATTCTCCTTATCACTTTTTGAATCTTTCCCATGAGTTTTCTTTTTATCGGATATTCCAATTTCTTCTTTTATATTACTTTCACTTTTTGGCGGTTCTTTTTCAACCGATTTTTCTGTTTCTTCTAATTTTCTCTTTTCCGCTCTTTTTTTACGCAAATGTCTTGCATTTTCTCCTTCTGAATTTGGGATTAAAGCAAACGCTTTGTCAGGATTATATATTATTGGATCATTTTTTGAATCTCCATCTGGGAAATGACAAGAGCAAACTCGGGGATCTTTAACATCTTTTGGCATCCTAAAACATTATTTTTTTACATAATTTTAAATACTTAGATATTTTTCAAATCTTCTAAACCTTGTTTTCTTTTTCCAACTTTTCGATTTTTTTTCATCCTTGGGAAATTGAAAAAATTTACAAGTATATTTTTGTGTCCCAGATATGTGGGAACAAATTGGAACAACGCATTTCATTTTGTTTTTAATTTGTTTATTTTTGTACGTTGTAAAAAACTACTTAAAATGATGCAAAACTTTTTTAAAAATTTTTAAAAATAAGAAATTTTTGTATTCTATTGTTTATTTTTGTTTGTGTTTAGCTTGTTTTTAAGCTTCCATTAATCAATCCGTCAAAGTTCTTAATATTTTCTTTTTTACTTTTGTTCCGTACATTAGCCTAATTTGTAAATAAAGTACGGAATATAAATATTGTGACGTTTTGACACCTTTTTCATATGACACATCTCGTTAATCTTATTCCTATAGTATATAATATGACACTTTTGATAAAATTATATTTCTTAGACAACACCGCAAATTTTAACTAAAGTTCTTTTTTAAAATTATTCATTTAATTTAGGTTTTTAATTAAAAAACCTTAATACACTCTAGATTAAAACTTAATCAGATCGAAATTGAATGTAACATCAGAAAAAATCTGTCAGAAAATAGAAATCTTTACATTTGTATATTTTCTGTCATATGTTTAATAAAAACCATATGGCACAATTTAATTCTTTTTTTTTAACATTTAGCGGAATCAATTGATTTCCAGTTTCTTGAATTTCATAGCGTGGGTTGCAATCTATACAAATGTTAGGAATATCTGACAAAGCTGCTAAACGAATTTGGTGCGTAAATTCTAATCAGATTTTATCCTGTGTTTTATTTTCTAAACAGAAAAAGGTATCACATTGATTCCAAAGTATTGAAGTAAGAACTATCATTTTTTGGAAATTTGACATTTAGTGAATTTGCCATTGTTGCTTCTTTTTGTTTGGTCTGGCAACTCATTTTACAAACGCATTTCAATTTTACTATAGTTGCTAGGTTCTTCTAAAATTTATACCTCAATTTAAAATCACCTTAACTACTTTTGTAAAAATTTAAATATAATATATAAATTAGAGTCCTAATTAAAATGTCTGGACGTGAAGGAGGTAAAAAAAAACCATTAAAAGCACCAAAAAAAGCAGAGAAAGATATGGATGACTCTGATGTAGCTTTTAAACAAAAGCAAAAAGAACAACAAAAAGCCTTAGAAGCAGCCAAACAGAAGGCATCCCAAAAAGGACCATTAGTTGGAGGTGGAATAAAAAAATCTGGAAAAAAATAAGATTTCTAAATACATAGATAATTTTTTTTTGTAAATTTGAAAAGATGTATTTTTTTATATTGTAACCTAGTTGCGTTTCTATTCAAAATGTATATCAATCAGAATTCAGAAATATTTTGTTAGTACAGAGAGAATTTTAGGTTATCCAGCCTTTCTTTTTTAGTACATGAATGTATACAATACTTATGAAGAGAATTAAGAATTATACTTTAAGAATTACTGTGAAAATAATACCCTTAAAACTTGTAAATTAAAATCTGATATTTATGTTTAAAATTAAATAATTAGTTATTAAAAAAGGGATCTTATCTTCATTTTAGGTACACATCTGCTCCGTTTTTATGATTCAATTATGTATGTATTAAGACCTCAATGCATAAAAATTTGCATTTTAAATGATTTTGTGGTAAAATTAGATTAACATTCAGTTGTGAATATAGATAAATGAACTAAATTGTATTATGATTTCTCCGCAAAATGGTCAAGTTTGAATTATGTATTTGGATGAAGAAAATACTTTTCGCTTATTCCAGATATACATACATATGTGTGATATACATACGTATTATAATAGTTCTCCATTTTTCTTGCATTAAAAAAATATTGTCTTTTGTGAAAGTTTTTAGAGGGAGACGAAATTGAAATAGCAAATATGCCTTGATAACAGCAGTCAAAAACACGAGATATTTGAAAAAACCATTTGGAAAACTTTGAAAGCCTTATGGGGTTAAACTAGAAGAGATAGTGATATACTAGTGTTTTTTTTGTGATCATCGTTAACTTGCGAATCCGATGATGTATGAGAAATTTGTAAGAGCAATACTTTGGGATAATACTATCTACATATATGATAGTATTATCTGATCGTTTGAAGAGATGGATCGCCTAGTCCAGAATAAAAAAAATATGAACTAAAGGATGTTTTACTATATCCATAACACAAAAAGGGTGGTCAAAAAGAGACCGATGTCGGATGTTAAGGTAGATCTGTTACTCAAAAATAAAAAAAAAATCTACTCGTAAACGTCTAAGGGAAAGAATTTCTTACATCTTAATTTAAGGGTACATAAACATATTTTTTTTTTTGTAATAATAATAGAGTTATTTTTAAATTACGAGTACTTGGTAGAATACCAAGTACTCGTCATACAATTACGAGTATTTAGTATTTTATCTATGTTACAAATTATAAAATAAAACTTCAAGAATATATTAAAACAGAAACTTATTTATTAACTAACTACTAACTGACGTTGTGTCAGCATTAACATATCAAATTTGCAAAAATTATTTATATGTACACAGGTATAATACATACTGGAACGTACATATCTAATACAAATAATGAAGCTGTGTGCTTAAACAAAAATAAATTAAATCTTTAAATATGAGTGCTTAAAGGTAAATAAAACCGAATTAAATTTATCAAATTACTAACCAATAAAATTATGTTAACATATTATCACCCTTTCTAAATATATTTGAGTTAGATATCGCAATAATATGGTTTTTAAATCTAATTCAACCTGAGAGGTAAATTATTGGATTCAGATAAAGCCGAAATTTCTATGTTCGGATAGAAATCACTTTCATTACGGAATACGAGGAAATTTAACTTCATTCAGGTTTTTTAAAAAGTAGTCATTTTGATATTAGACACAGGCAAGCGTATTTAAAGGAAAAATCATAAAAACTTTTTAATAAACCTAGTCACATAAAAATTAATTATTGCAATATGTAGCTTTACAAATTAATAGACGTATTTACTTAGGTACGTATTTAGTCTGACTAAGGAATAAAAATTTTTTGAAAATTTTCATAAGAAGTTATTAAATTTTCTTAATTATATAATATATAGATACTTAAAAATATGTTTTAAAAAATATCAAATGCTCTTTTTAAAGCTAAAGCAAAAACAGCATAAGCGTAATTGTTACGCCTAAAACAGAGAATAATTTTCCTCTTTGATAAAAATACGAACAATTTATAATCAAAATCTTATTGAAACTTTGCATTCTTTTTAGATCCCATACATTTGAATATATGATAATTACACGATCCCTCTTAATAATCATATTCTATGACTTCTGTTTTCCTTTTTACTGTTTCTTGATTAAATTTCATATCGTTCTTCTGTAATATCATTAATTTCTTGATAGCTAAATAAAAGCAGAATACACCTAAAAGAAGGCATATTACGGCAACAATGACTTGTAGAACAGGAAGCCAATATAAACAATAATATATTAATGTTGTGTAACCAAAATCGTCGGATTTCTAAAAAAAAATTTAATAAAGTTGTATTTTATTTATTATGAACAATTATTTATGTATTCAAAAATTTTTAATGTTGATGTAATAAATTACCATTTGAAGCCAAAACATTGGCACAATTTTATTACTAAAAGCTTTAAGTTTAGGTAAACTACTTAAATCGCCAAAGAAACTATTACTCTGTAGACCAAATTGCCCTCGTAGTGGAACACCACTTAAAGGTTCCATTATTAAATATGATTCATGTTCTTCTTTATTTGGTGATAAGCCCTCTATATTTGTTTCCCATTCGCCATTAAAACCATATAAATGAGGATTTGAAAAAGCAAATGGAAAATCTAAAATAAATTTGAAAATTTTATGAATATATTAATATTTATTTACTAAATCGATTTAAAAAAAAAATGATTTCTTTTTGAAGATTACAATGCATATTTACCATAAGCTACCGTTGATGCATCAATTAAGCCACTTGGTAATTGTATTCCTTTATAATTTCCCAAACAATCTTTGCTGTCGTATGTCCTCATAAAATTTTCATGTGAAACAGTAAATTTATATGTATTAATATTCTTATCAATGAGTTCTTTTTCAAACTCTAAGATAAAATGACGCGGAATTCTCGTTATTGATATTCTGAATGTATGATTTTTAGTCAAATATGGCGGAAAACCTGTCCCATCAGTTGTATTCACAACCGAAAATGGACAATCATCAAAACCCCTAAAATTATTATAATGTAATAATTTTGTTTTGCCATTAAGTGTATTAATTTTCCAAAAATCTTCTATTTTATTTTTTGGACCAATACGAACATTGTATCTTTCTTTGAATAGTCTAAATGTCTGAAAAATTAAATATATACATTCATATTAGACGCAATAATTAATTAACATTTACGTTTTTTTTATATATGTATGTGATCATTAAGCAGTTTGATTAATAAATGATTTCGATTCGGTCTTGCTATAGTAAAAATTGAAGTCGTTTTCAATTTAGTTTTAATTCAATGCAATATAGGTGAAAAGGTAATTAAAATTTTGAAAGTTGTAACTAATAAACAATTTATGAAACTTACATTGTATAATAGACCAAAATTATCAGTTGGTAATAAATATGAGAATCCTGACTTAATTAAATTTGTAAATTTTGTTGAACCATTCCATAATATATGATAAACCGTATTATTTAAATATATATTTTCAAAATGTTGAAGAATATGTCGTCCACTTTTTGCTGCAAGTATTATCATTGCAGGATTAACAATAGTTATTGTTTTATTCATGATACCAGGTTCACTTTCTTCTTTAAGAAATTCAAATTCTCTTACTGTTGTATATGATAATGTTCCATCATCTTCAAAAACAACATCTTTTTGTTGAGCCTTATATCCATAAACAATTGGACCCAATTGCTTTAGTTTTAATTTTTTATCAATACCTTCTTTAAAATTATACGGATTTTCAATTGTATATACATGAACATATATTCTTGGAATATGTTTTGGATTTTTCCAATCTTCCATTGGTAGCCAACCCGGTCTCATTTTAGTTCTTTCTTCAATTAACATATCAATTAAATTGTTACTACTTAAAAATATACCAATTATTAAATTTAAACTGCAAATTATTAATAAAACGACTCCACCTGAAATAGATAGTAAAAAAAAACAAGTTTTGTGAACTGTGGTTAGAAATTTAATAGAAAATTTATATCTAACTTAAATTAATTGAATTGCGTGCAATAAATGAAAATTTTAAAATTGTACAAAAAAGAGAAATGAAAACATTTAAATGTTAGCACTCCTTGGGATAATATTATAAAGAGTCAATAAAATAATGAAGTGTCTCCAATGTATAAAACTAGAGCGCATGTTATTGCTTTATTAACTGCTTCCATTAGCACACTGCATTGCTTACATTAAATTTTTAAATTGAATTTGTTAAATTTTAAAATAAAATTTAATTTTTTAATATATCATCGGGTGAATGCTATTTTGATTCATACGCCACTTTCGTAAATTTTGACTTAAGACCATACTTTAATTGGTTTTCGAAGATGATCTTTCAGTATATTCTACCAATTCAATGTATTCTAATATTAAAAAAGCAAAAAGAAAAAATTACTTACATAACCGATCGCCCCATTTAGTTTTCCCGTTCTCATATACAAATTCATTGAAATCATCAAGAGTTTCGTTAGCTTCTTTCTCTTTACAATCAGTTGCAGATATTTTTAATAAACTCATTTTTATTAAATTTGATTTAATCTCATAATTTTAATAAATCAGTTGAAGGATCCTTTCTTATTTTAACAATTATTTAAATTTTTTGTACAAATTCATTAATTTATTTTTTAATCGTAATTCTACTTAATTATGAGCTGATCACAACTGTCCTTATGTGATAATGATTGTAATTCTGAAAAAAAATAAAATTCATGTATAATTATAAATATTTCTAAATCAATTGAGTTTAAAATACATTTCGAAATTAAATTAAAACAATTAATAAAAAAAATAACATTAAAAACAAAAACTAACATTTTTTTTCTAAATAATGCTTTCCTCTTCCCACATTTACGACGAAGTTAAGACGAAGATTTGTTTACATAGCGATAAAAGAAAAAAATAGTAATTACTATTTACTATGACTTTTCTAGTCGTTTATGCTAATTTTAGCCGTTTAACTACAAAGCTACATGTACATAACTACATAAGCTACATAGGTGATGTAAACAGGTACACCACATGAATATTCTATTTGAATGTGTTTGCGATGCGATAATATCAATACGTAAGCATGTGTGTAATAAATGTCAAACACGGGATATATCAAAATTTTTTCTGAGATTATATCGAATCAAATTCTTACTTTCTTATATTTGCATTCTTAAAAACAAGATAAAAATTTTCTTTTTCTTTTAATTTCTTCGTAAAACTATTAATAAATTCATAAAGAAAATGAAGTTTTTCTTGTTTGCGTTCAACAAAAAATAAAAAGAATTTGAAAATTTTTTAAAATTGACCGGTTATTGCATAATTTTCTATTCCTTTTTACTTTCCATCTCAAATGAATTTTTTTTGCAACACACAAAAAAAAAGTTTGAAAAAAAATATTCAAAGGCATTAGAGATAAGAGATTCTTTCGGATCAAGATTTAATAAATTCGAATAGAACTAGTATTTGCTATTATTTACCATAATATCTAGATTACGATAATTTTTGAGCCGATAATTTCTAATTCGAGTTTTTTTAACTATAAGCGAAAAATTTTACGGCTCAAACTTGATGCTAAATTTTATAAGAATTGTTTATGATATTCTTTTTAAAATTACAGTTCTTTTAAATAACTATAAAATTTTGAAAAAAGTTTCTTTCTTGCGTCTTTCGTTTTCAAAATTTTTAAATTTAAATTGAAATTTAATTCAAATTACGATCTTTATGTTTTTTTTAAATACATATTGCAATAAAAACAAATAAAAAATGCAATGCAAGTATTGAAGAAAACACTTAAAAATTTGACATGAGATGTCGCTTTTGTAGAAATTGTATGTGGTGGTATAGTGGCTCAGAACCAAAACAAATTTACTTTTTATTACAAAGTTTTTTTAAAAAAATACCCAATTTAAAAAAAAATGACGCACAATTTTTATACCGAACATTTAGGGAGAAAAATAAATAAATATGGCTAGTTCTAGAAACCGTTATGTAGGATCGATTAAAATGGCTAGACCACTTTACTTGTGAGTCACTCCATTGCAACTTATTCAAATAAAATAAATCAAGCCAATTTTTAATGTTTTTCTAATATTTTACAAGTGACATTTTAATTATTATAGTAAAGATTAATTAAAAATAATTTAATTTTTAAATACAACAATTATGAACTTATAGCTTATAGGTTTTTGATTTGTTGTAGGCCTTGAAATATAAAAAATGTAACAAAAAAAAAACACAAAATATTTTTTTAAGGTAAACAAGAGCAAGAGAATATTACAGATAGAGGATATAGTAAAAAAAAAATTACAAAAAGTTCATTGTACGGTTACCTTAGAAAAATAAGTTCTATGTAAAAAATATTTTGCACACCTAATTCTGGTTTTCAACAGAATAACAAAAATTCATGTACAAATATTTTAAATGCTATTGAAAAATTTTCTAATTATATCCACCTTTTTCCATTTTAAAAAGGTGAGTTGAGAATCTAAGTGCACTACTTTAATTTATTTATGTTGTAAAATATTAAACGCAAAAATAAAAAATTATCAAGTTTCGATATAAATTCGGTATGACCTAAGTATTGGGTCCAAAAAAGTATGTATAAATGCGGCGATAGACCTTAAAACGTTTTCATGAGTGTCTTGTCGCATTAATGAAAGGAAATTTTTTTGGCCTCTGCAGCTATTATTATTGCTTAATGCATGGGCGGTGCAAGGTAGTATTCCTAAATTAGTACGAATTTTCATTTACTAGCGAGAAAGTGTTTTTTTTTTTTCGAAACTAAATCGAAAAAATCGAAAGGTCTTGTTCGTTTCAGTTTTGCTGTCGTAACTCTCTATAAGTAGAGAGTCTTAATATTTGCATGCTGCTCAAAAACGAGAACTGTATGTTTACTTATTTGATCATATTAGTTCCTTATTTCATGATTTACTTTTGGAACACCCAAATCCCTATGAGCTTCACTATTGCGCACATATATTAAATAGCAGCCACCGTATTACGAAGAACCTTGTTTTAGAAAATTTGTATGTATTGTTTTATATGTTTTTATTTTGTATTATGCGGAAAGTGAAGGTGATTGGCCGTATAACTTCACTATTATTATTATTTTGTATTGATAGAAATAAAATTCTATTTATTTTGAATTAATATAGTAAAAATTTACGTTTTTGTTTTTATATACGTATTTTATAATTTCATCTATTAATTAAAAAAAAATTGAAATTAAATATTCAAAAAATATTAATATGTTAATTTCGAAATTATTGTATATATTTTATGTATGTATATATATATTGAAATATTCTAAGAATCAAAATTCAGGTTTACGCCAATTATAAAGTTATTTGCATTTCTTATAAATAATTTTAACTTTATTTCTTATACTTTTAGGTTATTTTAAATATGTGAATGGTTGTATGGGCTAATTGGTAAACAAATCAGAGCTATATAAAATGTCTATACACATATAATTATACTCAATTTAATTGTGAATTGTGATGTCATTTTGTTTTAAATTTCTATACTAAAAAAAAATTGCATTTATTAAAAACAAAATTCTTATTTAAAGCAAGGAAACTTACAGCGCAGCATGAATCACAAAAAATCGGGTAATTAATATACATGTATATAAAATAGGTTTTAGAAAATTTTGAGAAATATATACATAGTTTTTTTTTTTTTTAGATTTTGGACCAAAACCAAAGAATGATAATTTTCCTAAAATTTTTATATGTATGACCATGGCTGACAGAAATACAAGAAAATCCAAATTTTATTGTAGCATAAAAATTTTTAGGTTTTAATCAAATTTTCGTATAGAAAACTCGAAATGAAAATTTGCAAAAATCATCATTTTTCCAAAAAAAAAACAACACAAAAAAAATAATTCTTCAGAAATGTCATTTCGCTAAAAATACATATGTATGTAATTTTACAATTACATTTTCAATCATACTAAATTTGATAGCAGAGTAAGCGGTAAACAATCAATCATAAATATCATAAAAAAGTTTCTGTTTATTTACACTATTTTTTAGAATTAGATTATGCGTACAGAGGAATAAACTGTTATGATTCTTTAGAGTTAGGATTATGTGCAGAGGAGTAATAATTTAATTGAAATCTTATATAGTTTTTAATTATATTATAAAAATTTAAAATTAACGATATTTAAATTGAATTCGATAGTTTTTTAAGATCATTTTAATACTCATGTATTATAGTTACTATTTTAGAAAACTTTACAGAAGGTATATATATGTGTATCTTTTATAAGATATATATTTTTAATAAAGATTTTAAGTTAGAAACCTGGGGTGAATTTCAACCATTTCAATCTTACTTACGAATTCTTTGAAGACTTTCTTCTTAGGAAACTGATATAAGACTAGTGAACTTTCTAATATTGCCTCACTTTTTCTACTGCGATGTTGTATTTTCATCAATGAGTGCTTATGAATTTATCAAGCTTAATGGAATTTTTAATGCCTGCACAAGGTTTGCTAAAAAACAGGAGAAAATTCGATAGTATCTCTGAAAAAAAGGCTCTTATTCTTGGGTGAAGTTTTGATAACTTTTTAAATTTTCGTTACATAAGGTTTTTCAATAGGATAATTAATGGTTGTTGCCCGGCTTATCTTATCTTGTAAAATTAAAAAGGGTAGATCGATCAGATCACCGATGTACGAAATTCCTCGGCATTCTACCCGTCGAAGGCACCTGTCGTTCTGTGTCAGAGTCAACTCCCTTTGGAATAGTCTCCATTCATCATTGAGAATAGAAAATGATAGGAAACGGCATGACAATTTATACAAGCAATATTTTTTTCAATAAAACTAATTTCTAAAATCATAGTTTATTATGCTACTTTTATACTTTTATTATAAATAATTATAAATTTATCAGTTCACATGTGTATACTTTTTTCTTTTTCTTACTTCTATAGTAATTCCACTTAGTTTTTAAGTTTCTGATGTTGTATATAATTAATTTAGTCTTTAAGTGTTTGCTTTAATTTTCTATGCTTTCATATTTGGCTATGTATATAATTTACAGATATTTATTGATGAACGTATATTAAAGTTATGAATACTTATATTAACTTTAAAACATATCATAAGTATATACACATATGTCTAAGTCAGATTAAATTTAACAAAAAAAAAAAAAAAACGAATTTTCGTTAATTATAATTGCAAATTTTTGTAATTAAAATTGCGAATTTATTTTTATGTATTTATAATAAGTCTTAATTATTTAAAAAGTCTATCATAATATAAATTAATTTTATATAATTAAAAAAAAAATCGAACGATTTGTAGAATTATTTTATTGCGTATTTTTAATTTTTTTAGTTTTTTAGTTTTTCTTTTAAAATATGTAGTATATGAAAAATTAGAATATTTTTTATTCTTTATAAATTTTTTTATTAAGAATTGAATTAATTCGAAATTAATAAATTAATTATTATTTTATGATTTGTAAAAAAATTAATATTTTTTAAGAAAATTTTTGTATTTTAAGTATTTTAAATATACACGCACATTAATTTAGTACAATATTTTAAATTTCTCTTAATTTTAAACTTTTTTTCGTAATGTCCTTGTAAAAATCAACAAAAAAACAATTTTTTTATGAATGAAATGTAAAATAAATTCTTGTTTTGTAATTTCTTTTTTTCACTTAAAATTTATCACTTCTTTTTAACTAATCGTCTTGTTAATTTTATAATTTGATTCAATTTTTTCTTAATTAATATTTAATTTCAAATGAATTTTTTCTTATAGGAAAATCCTGATATTAAATTCAATATTTATTTTCTATTTTAATTTTTTAAATTTTGCTTTAACCGAATATTTATCCGTTTTTAATTCTCTTCGTTCTGTTCGACTTCAGGTGAGTGATTAAAAGAAAATTTCATTTAAGCGAATGTTTTTTATATAATGTTCTATTAGAAAATAAATAAAAAAGTTAGAACAGAATATTAAATTTCAAGAAGAACTCGTTTTATTTACTCTTTTTATTATTTTGTTTTTTTATTCCTTTTTTTTTAACCATGATTTCTTATACAAATACATATATATTTGTATATTGTGGTATGTAAATAGTTCTCATAATGATTTTTTCATTACGATTTTAATATTTTTGTAATCGAAATTATGGTGCTATCACATGAAATTGTAAATACAGTAGTTATTAAGTAATATTGCTAATTTTTAGAAAATTTTAAAAATAATCATAATTATTTTTAGTATAACAATTACTTGTTGGCGCATTGTATAACAATATTGCTTATGCATTATATTTTTTTTTGGAAGGATAAACAATTTCAAATGAATTTACATAAAATATTGTATTCATGTACATAAATATACGATATCACTATGTAAACATGCATGAATGTTAAATGAATATAAATGATAAGTTTTGTAGAGCGTAATCATTTTGCTGTTGAGTTTTTATTATATCCATAAGTATTTGACATCGATTGCATCTTATCACGAAGACTATTTTTAACTTATATTGTTAGATATATTCCATTCATAATAAATGGAAAGTGGCTAATATTAGATTTTTATAGTGTTTATGCAAAATTTGAATAAAATTAAATTTCAAAAATAAATATGGTAACGATAAGATCTTACGAGTCAAATAAAAATTACAAACTAATTTTGAATTTTTCTGCTTTTCAATAAATTATTTAAATATAAGGTTTAGCAATGACTCGTTGTTAAATAGAATATTTTCTAATAAAAATTAAATTAAATTTTTTAATCTAATTTTGTAATAAGATAAATTAAAATTATTTAATATTTTAATTGTTATATTGTATTTTAAATTTAGTTAAATTATATTATATAATTACTTTGTACTTTTTTTGCTATATATTCAAAAATTCTTACTTTTCAACATTTCATAATAACCTCTAAAAAATTTAGAATCTTTAATCCTTTTTTCCTTAAAATCAATTAATGTTGAATTTTATTAGATGCACTAAAACATTAACAGTAAATTAAAATGATTTTATTATAGATTTTAATTAAAAAAATAACCAGTTTTTCTTTTACTTAAATAATAAATATTTTTTTTTAATCAATTTTTAAGACAGAAGAAAAATAAAATTAAACAAAGTAAAACTTTATTTTAAATGTTCTAATTTATTATTTATAATAGTATAGCAAGTCTATAAAATAAAGGTTGCCGAACAGATCATTTTTGAATAATTTAACATAATATAAATATTTAATTGATGTATATATAAAGTTTATAAAAAAATAACTAGATAAAATAAAAAACTACAGAAGAAGAAGAAAAAATAATTAAAATAATTATAATTTAAATTTTTTTATATTTATAAAAATATACACTTTCGTTTTCTAAATTTAAACGCACTGTTTAATATTCAAAAACGCTAAATGAAATAAAATAAAATATAAAATAAAAATCATCTAATAATTTACCATACACGATTTTTTTTATTTTTAATATTAATTAGAGTTGAGTGAAATAAAATTATACATGTATTAAATATTAGATACTTAAGTAGCTAATATTTGCAGACACGAGACTTTACAAATATTTAAAAAGAAAAAATCCAATTTCATATTGAAACTAGAAATTATTTTTAAAAGCGGAAATTTAAGTCTTAAAATTATTGGAATGAAACGAAAAATAGTCCAATTTATTTTTGTAATTATAGGAAGTAGAACTTAATTGTTTTTCTTAAATTTAATTATATTTCTTGAATTTGTATTGAATACGAACACAATGACTTGAGAAAGCGCATTTTAGGTGTTGAATTATTTTAAAAAGTATAATAATTTAAAATTTTTTTAATTCGTTTATTAATAATTTTTTGTTCAGTTTTTCATTCTATTTACAAAAAATTTGATTTTATGTTTTTGCAGACTATTGTCTGCGAAATTTTTTAAGAAATTTTTATTGTTTATTTTCTATATTCTAAAATTATGTTTAATTTTTCCAAAAATAATATTAATTTAATTTTAGGCAGGCGTACGAAGCATTTTTACTACTATTGGCCAGATTATAAAGTAAAAATGGCGGGAAAATGTTTAAATAAGTAAATTAATGAACTTATAATAATATGAAACCCATTGGAGAGTAATTTTGGAAAAAAATGTGAAAACCTTTCTGAAAATGTGAATTTAAGGTAATGTATAGGAAACTTAATAATTTTTAAAAATATATTTGGAAATATATTTTAAAATTATTTTATTAATTTTTTAGAAAAGAGAGTTTAAAGAGCAATTAAAAATATTGTTGTTGTTATTGGACTGCAGTACTGATTTTCACCATCAGGAATTACAATTTTTTTTCCACTGCATCATATTATATGGTACAGTACTAATTAATTATGTTCCTCACGCTAGATTTTAGATTTTAGCATAATTTTTACAAGTTTATGAAATTTTTGAAATTTCAATTTAAATAAAAAACAAAACAATTAAAAAGTATATAAATCATTATTATAAATTTTTTTTTATTTAATAATTAATTAACAAAAAAAAAATATTTTATCTAATTAAAATTATCGTATACATACAAACTATATATATGTACATAAATATATACAACTATATAACATTTTTCTTTTACTATAAAATAACTTGCTTTTGTCTATACATACATTCACACATACAATTATGATTTAAATGAAATTGTCATTTATTTTATTCTATATTTAAACATACACTTTATGTATATATAAACAAAAGTTTACAAAATTAATTTTTATCCTATATACATATAATTATAATTATAATATCACTTTAAATGAATATTTTATTGTCATTTTGTTTTTCTTAAAATAAAATTAAAAAATAATCATATATAATTAAAATTAAATTTGAAAAAAAAATCTTACTTTAATATTGATGATCTTTTTTAAAATAAATAAAAAAGTATAAGTATATTTACAAATAGTATACAAATAGTATTTACAAATAGTATATATAAGTAGTATAAGAATTTAAAAGAAATTTTAATATTAATTTATACATACTCGTATATTTACATTATTGTATACACATAATTTTTGAGGGTCATCACAATTTCTTTTTAATAAATTTTCTAAAATTTATTAATTTTTTTTTTTCTTATAAATAAAAGTATATTCTTAAGTAATATTAAATGCAATAATGAATTTATATATGAATTTTAATTCATGTAAAGAAATTTACTTGTATTAATTAAATTAAATTTAAAAATTTAATTTTAAAACATATATATATATAAATGATATGGTTTTTGTCCCGTAATTCATATTTATTATATAATATAAATATTAAAATCGTATAATAATAGAAAAATAATTCTTGATTAAACCAAATTTTACAGTCTTTCTGGAATTGCGTACTATGCATGCAATTTTTGTATAATATTAAATTATTTAATTTTTTTTTCATAATTTACATATTAAATCCTTAATTGTCTTTTTAATAATTTACATATTATACATATATATTATACTGTATCAGTTGATTTTCTATTAATAATTCTTTGCCAAAATTTCATATTTTCTGTTTTAAATTTTGTTAATTTTTTGATTCCTAAATAACAACTACATCCACTTAATAGGAAGAATACAATGATTAGAACGATTTGTACAATAGGAACAACATTTATCATAAAATATACTTCGGTTGCATGACCTAAATTCTTAAATCCCTAAAAATATACAAAAAAAAAATATATGTATTAAAATAATATATAATTTGACCTTTATTAAATATTTTAAGAAATATTTTTAATGAAGAGCAAATAAATTAAAAAGAGTAATTTTAAATATTTACCTGTTCAATCCAAAATGTTGGTATAATTTTATTACTAAATGCTCTCAATTTTGGTAAACCATTTAAATTTCCAATAATATTGTTGCCTTGAAGACTTGCACTACCTTCTAATTGTGTACCACTTTTAGGTTCAAGTACAATATATGATTGATGTTTTTCTTTATCTGGTGATAAACCCTCTAAATATGTTTCCCATTCACCACCATCAAAACCATAAAAATGAGGAGGTGAAAAACCTAATGGATTATCTATAAAAATAAGTTTTAAAATTAATAAACATATAAAATATTAAATTCATTAATTATTAGTAAATATAGGCACATAAAGAGCCTATTTTATTTAAAATAAAAATATTAATAAAAATATGCAAATATATTCACCATAAGCTAATATTGATGCATCAATAACACCACTTGGTAATTCAATATTTTTATAATTTCCTAAACAATCTCTATTATCATGTGTTCTCATATAATTTTCATTTGTAACAACAAATTTATATGAATTAATATTATTTGCAATAACTTCTTCTTCAAATTCCATAATAAAATATCGGGGAACTCTTGCTGTTGCTACTTTAAATTTATGATTTTTTGTTATATATGGTGGAAATCCTGTACCATCAGTTGTATTAACAATTGAAAATGGACAATCATCATATCCTTTAATATTTTCATAATTTGCTAATTTTGTTTTACCATTAATTGTATTTGTTTTCCAAAAATCTTCAAAATTTTCAGCCCCAATACGAACATTATAACGTTCTTTACGTTGTTTAAAACTCTAAAAAAAAAATTAATTATAATTAATATTTTTTTTTTTGTTTAATTTTTTTGATAAGATTTGGCAATAAACCTAGATAGTTTTTAATTGTGAATAAATTATGTTTAATTTTTAACAATGCCTAAATAATCACATACATATAAAACTTTTTTTTATTACCGTAAAGGTTAAAAATTAAACGACAGGTCGTTATGAACTCAATTTTTATTTATTTGCTGATGCAAGCAAGGGTTTAAAAAGTGCATTATGAAATATTTTATTTATAATAATTTTGATAATTCTACTTATATATGTATATATATATATATATATATATATATAATCTATATTTTCAAATCTATATATATGTATATTAATATTTATAAACTTACATTGTATAATATTCCAAAATTATCAGTTGGTAATATATATGAAAAATGTGATCTAAAAAAATCTAATAATTTTGTTGAACCATTCCATAATAGATCATAAACGGTACGATTTAAATAAACATCATCTAAATATTGTACAAAATAATTTCCAGTTTTTGATGCTAAATTAACCATCATTGGATTAATAACTGTTATTGTTTTATTCATAATTCCCGGTTCATTTTCTTCTTCAACAAATTTAAATTCTCTTATTGTTGAATATGATAATGTACCATCATCTTCAAATACAATATCATCTTGATGTACAGTATGACTGTATATAATTGGTCCAACTTGTGTTAATTTTAATTTTGTATCAATACCACGTTGAAATGCATATGGATTTTCAATACCATATAAATAAACTTTAACTCTTATATGACCAGTTGGATTTCTCCAATGTTCAAATGATGGTGTTCCTGGTATCATTTTAATTTTTTCTTTTATTAATAAATCAACTAAATCATTACATGATAATAAAATACCAGTTATAAAACTTATAATGCATACAATTAATAAAATTTTTCCACCTAAAAATAGAAAATTGAAAAAAAAAATTTTAGTTTAATTTTTAATTATAATTAATATAATAATTAAATATATTTGCTAATAATGAATATAAAATGAATAAATTAACTAGCATTATGACTTCGGAATATTAAAACTACAACTAAACTATTTTAAAATGCAGAGTTGAAATTAAGTTGATACTCAATTATAAGTATATGGTGAATTATTCTCTTCGTTTATGATATTTTCGATATTATATTTTCGATTGATTCGATATTTGTTGTATAAGAACCGAAATATAGGAAAAAACAAAAAGCAATCGTAAAAATAATAGTAAAAATTTGTAAATATTTTCAATCCCAGAACAAAATTACAAAAACAAAAGAATAATTCAGCAAATTTTAATGTTAAGAGCTGGGGCACTTATTTGAATCAACTTCAATTTGACTTAAGATAATTTAAATTACAAAATTAAGATTATTATGTAAAACAATTATAAATACTTACAAATACGATCATTTAAACATTTTTTTCCTTTTTCATATGCAAATTCCTCATAATCGCTTAATATTTTACTTGCTTCCTTCTCTTTATAATCGGCTAATGATGATTTTATTAAACTCATTTTTTTATGACAATATTATTTTTTTTAATTAAAATTGTAAACTAATTAATTAATTGTTCTAAATAATATTTTTTTTTGTATTTAATTAATTTTAAAATATTTTTTAAAAACCGCGAAATCAAAAAAAAATTTCTTTAAGCCGATGATTACAACACGGTCCTGATGTTAACGGTAACAAGTCTGAAATATTAAATAATAAAAATTATTAAATGATTTCGTTTAAATAACATTAAAAAATAAAATTAATTAATAAAAAAATAAGATGGAAAATAAATTATTTTCTCTCTCTTTTTAACTTTATTAAAATTAAATTTATAAAAAAGAAATACTAGATTAAAGAAAGATTTTAGAAAAAAATCAGAAGAAGGAATTTTTTTTTGGTCAAAATTATCAAATCATTATGACTTTTCTAATCGTTTACGTCGATTAAATATAGCCGGCCGAATCAAAAATTTAAGTAGATTATAAAGAACACGTACACATACATAATATTGTTGTATGCATGTGTATTCTATATTATAACACAAAATGTCAGACACGAGACCTAAAAAAATTTAAAATTATTTTTTAGGTATTGTCACTGTGATTGAAAAGAATTTTCTTGAAAGAGAATTGGAAAAATGGTCTCATTTTTTTTTTTTGGAATTTTTCAAAATTTTAGAAAATCATTTCTTTTGTATATGATTTATAAGGTTATCATTTTAATTGACCATTTACGTCTGAAGGAATATTTTTCTAAAAAAATTTATTTATCACTTAACTTTTACTATATCTTGCTGTATGTATATACATATATATATATATTAATGTTTAAAATAATTTAACCGAGGTTTTTGATTTAATTTATGAATTATTTTAGATTTTTTTTTTTTTAATGAATTCTGCATAGAAGACAAAATAGTAATGCATATGTAAATCGGGATTAGAAATGAACAAAAATAAAATATGATATTTTCGGTCATCTGTTCTTAAATGTTTTTATTGTGGTATTTTATCAACAATAATTTGAATTTGCATTTAATTTTAAAATAAAGAAAAAAATTGTGATATACTTAGTATTCTATTGACCTAGAATGTAGTATTTTAGTATAGCGTATGTAGGAAGAACAAATTGAATCAGACAAAATATTAATTTTATTAATTTGTTTCGGTTTGTTAATATTTTTAACATTCTCTTTAATTCTATAATTTTTAATTTTATAACTTGCAATTTATTACAATTAAAAATTTTAATTATACTTTATTGACTTGTATAGCTTTATAATATAGCATTTGCCTTTTTTGTACAAAATACTTGATTAAATTTTTAAATGACATTTGAATATTAAACTTCAAATATTATTTAATTGTAAGTAAATTTATTATTAATTACGAAATTTTATAATGTTATCATATTAAAAAACATTTTGTAATTATATTATTAATTATTTTTTAGATTGCCGCCACAAAAAACATAATAATGCGTAATAAACAAATATGCAGAGTCATCTATTGACCGAATTAAATTGCGTATGTATGTATGTATGTATGACCTATTAAAAACTGTGTAAAGTTTTAATTAAATTTGTTTTTTTAGTTTTTAACTGTATTTCATCATGAGAGCTGCTTGATTGTACTCTTCAGTTAAATATTGCTTCTACGGAGAGAAGGCAGATGGAGCACATAGTCATAAAGTTAATGAAGAATTTTTCAAAAATATTTTAAATTACATAATTTATTGTAATAATAACAATGAAAAAATTAATTTAATTTCATAAAATATTTTATTTTGAAATTGAACAGATATTTGATAATAATAATTGTTTAAATAAATTTTAAAATTAATTTTATGTACGTATTATAAACGAAATATTTAAATTTAATGCCAATTTCTGATTAAAATAATTTTCAATTTTGCAAAAATACACATGTATGTGTGTAATAATAAACTAAAACAAAAAAAAATTCTGTATCAAAATTAAATTATAATTTATTAATTAAATTATTCTAATATACAATATTTATTAAGTAAGCAACAAGTGAAATTATTTCATACATTTTTATTTTGTATAAATCAAAAAAAAAAAACAATGAAAACAAAAAAATCATCTATCAAATCTATTGAGGTGTCAATGCTTCTTACGATTATCATTTTTATAGAATAATTTTTTTTTTAATTAATGAGACACATAAATTAGCAGAGACTGTAGCGATTAACTCAGAATATTTCTTACGTATTCTATACACATCGTATATGTATATAAGTATATTTTTATGCGAAAAAAACTTGTATTTAAATAGTATAATTACTGAAATTTGAAATATTGAATATAAATCATATTATAAAGATTATGTCCACAAACATATAAACATACATATATTTGTCTACTTTTAAAAGAATTTATAATAATATTTGGAAATATCTTGTATAACACAAATAATTATGTTTCTATACGAGAAAATCTTGTACAAATATATAATAAATTATACATTTATATAGCATCTATTAATAAATTTATATTTAAAATTTATTTTAATATTTATTTTTAATTATAATAATTAAATAAGTAATTATTTATGCGTTCTGAAATCTGATGACTTCAAATGTTATAGTATTTAAAATTAAATAATTTAATTGGTTGTTATACATTGTATATATTATACAGCATATTATTTCAATATTGTATTTACGTATACAAGATAAATAAATTTATATGGAATTGTGGTAAATATATTAAGAATTAATTTTATTAGTTATTATTGCCATTTGTAAACACATATGTTGGTATAGTAAAGATATTAAAGCAATCAATATTGTGTATTAAAATTTTTTTCATATACTTATATATTATGTAAATATGTATTTAAGTAATAAATGTTGCAATATTTATTGTATGCCATTAGGCAATAGTGTAAATACTTGAATATGGAATTTTAAATTCCAAAATTTTGTAATATATCCAAACATATATTTTCATAATTTAACAAAATATAATAAATTGCATATGTGTAAATTAATATTTTGTTAAAATTATAGTTTGCATAACATTTAACAATTTAATTAAAATTGGAATTTAATATACAATTTATAATATTAAGAAGCAAAATTTTAAATAAATTTAAAATTAATAATTATTATGAATATACTTAAAGTATAAATATCTAGAATGTTAAATGTAAAATGTAATGTTAAATGTTATAATGGGTTTACGTTTAGAATTCTAAAAATTTTAATTAAATATTTATTTAAGAAACTCAGCATTTATTTAAATTCAAATTAGTTAGTTTAATTATGATCGTAAGTAGTCTTGATCTATTTATACCCTATTACTCATTTAAATAATTTTAAGAATTTAAATTATATTATGTATGTAATTATGTATTAATAATTAACAAATTGGCTAAAGTTATTCATTCTTAATATTTCATTCTTATTTTTTATAAAATAATAAATAAACTCACTGTGATAATATTTTGTATAATCATAATACATAATAATTATTATAACAATTTTTACATGTTTTATATAAAAAATATATTGAATTTCAATCAAAATTATGCAATATATTATTAAAAGTTTAAGACAAATGATTTTGAAATATTTTAACATTCTAAAATACAAAATATGTAATATATAAAGAAATATTGATTGAAATTAATTATGGGTTTCTATTTTAACAAATATTATTAAAACGAAAAGTAGTTCAATATCTTTTTCAAATATATTTTTTTATATTATATGTATTGCATATATTTTGATGCTATGTAATAAGACCGAATGAAATAACGTTGTATTTAAAGTACCAAAAATCTTAGTGAAAAATTCAGTTTATAGAAAATTTAATTAATTATTGTTATATTATTGTTATAAATGCAATATCAATATTTTTATATTAATTGTTATTATATGTAATAATAATTCAAATAAAAATGTCTTATCAAATTAATATGGTAATGATTTACGTTTTGATAATTTTAGCTTGCAGTGTGATTGACAGCATCACATTTATAATATAAATTTGCTAAAACTTTAAGACAAAAAAATATTTTCATTTCGCGTCATAACATAATAAAAAAAAATAAATAAATATTTTTATATCAAAAATTTATTATTTAAGTGATGATGACATTTTTTTATACAGAAATATATACTTCACTTTATTGTTTCATTTCTAATAGTATAACATTTCCGGTTTATAACAATTAAAATAACAATATTATTATTTCTATTTAAATTCAGTTCGAATAATACAAAATATTGTTTATGTCTAGTTTTTGAAACAGGTCAATGTTTGAGATTTATTTGCAAATAAAAATATTAAAATTTATGTTTAGGTTATTTGCAAAATTTTTAATTTGACGTATCTATTTATTTTATTTATTTTGATTTAATTTAGAATTTCATTTGATAAAAATTAATGGTTTCTTTTAATTTTTCAAAATAACAAGAATTCTACCGCATAATAGCTATATGTACTCATGCATAAGTATGTATGTATTTTTTTTTGGTTGTTGTTACAAAATTTATTAATTTTGTTTAAATTTGATGAAGAATATGTATTTGAGGAAAAATTTGAAAATTTTCTAATAAAACTTTTGAATAAATGTAACATAGTCTCACTATATTTAAAGATCTAGTCCTGGTTAAGTAATTTGAAACTATTTTAAAAGTATTGAATTTGAAGCACATATACATACATATACGTACATATACAAAATTGATGTCCTAAATCATTTAGTAAGTTGTGATTTGAATATTATTCACAATTTACTTTGAAATGAATTTTCTAGATAATTGAAATGAAGAGGGCTTAATATTTTTTAATATACACACAATCTAACTGCAATAATTACAAAATTATCAAATCAAACTCATGCGTAAAAATACATACATAATATGTTTGAAATACATGTTTGTATACTTGTTCATCATAAAAATCATAACTTTTAAATTATTATACGTTTGTTTTATGTTTATTGTTTTTACATAAAATTTCTTGATAAAATTTCATTCATTAGAGGAAAAATTATCA